AGACATCCGCATGGCTGACCCCACGGGCACTGGCCAGACGTTTCCCGTTGCAGCCTTGCTTGCAGTGACACGATCAAGACCTTCCGCACCAGAGGTGGGGGCAAACAACACCCTCATCGCCGTGAACCCCAATGAACATGTGAGGAGCCAACTTCAGCTCAACCACAATTTTACGGAAAGCATACTTCCGCAAAATGCTGCGAAGCCGGTGCTCATGCCTCTTGACCATAAAATAGAAAGCTGTCTACAGGAAATTGACCTATCTAAAGAACAGAAAAAAGATTCAGAAACCAAAAGCACAGATAAAAACCATTACATCTACTAGATGTAAATATTATAAAGCAGAATGAAAAAGAGAGACTTCAAATAATGAATCCTGCATTTTTATTTGGTACAGCTTTTAACATAGCATATTGGCATAAGAAGTACCATTCAGGTACTATATGTAAAGGAGTGAGTAATCCACATGCTTCTAATGCATTATCTGGATGTGAGAAAGAAGAGAACCCGGATGTAATTTGAAGAAGATATAGATAGAGATTTAGTATCTTTCCATAGAAATCTTTACTAATAATGAAAGGAAAATGCTATTCTATTATTAGTGGAACTCCTGTTAGGATTATTAGAAGATAGAAAATGTAGATTAAAGATATGGCAAAGAAGAAAACCACAAAGAAGAATGGAAATAGAAAGTGAAAGGCAAAGAGCCTCTTCAATGTTGGATTGTCTATTAAAGATGGAATGGGAGAGAATAACTTTGTAATTACTGTAACTCCCCATAAGCTCATTTGTCCATTCGGTAAAACATAACCCATAAATGCTGTTCCCATTAAGAAGAAGTAAATAATAATTCCAGAAAACCAAGTATTAGGATTATAAAAATGTGAAGCATAAGATATAACTCTTCCAAGATGTAGAAATATAAAAAGAAATGCAAATGATGCACCATTAGAATGAAGATAACGTAAAACACAATCCATAATATATTTCTCTAACTAGAAGGAAAATACTAAAATATGCTGAATTAATATCTGATGTTACATGTAAACCTAAGACGGTTCCAGAGATAATTTGTAATGCTTGTAAATGAGATTTCATTAGCAATACAAAAAATATTCAACATGGGAATATTAGATTTATCTGAGGCACGAAGGTCTATTTTCTCTTTGTTGTGTGTCTTCTCCTTCTCTCGTCACTCCGTGTCTAATTAAGACTCCAGACCAGGCAACCAACAAACAAACAATTCTAATATTTTCAAGCTTTTATTATCATAATGTTAATCCTAAGAAGAGAGAAATATAAAGAGAAAAGACAAAGCAAATAGAATAATTTTAAAATATAAAGAATAGATGATAAGAAAGACAAATAGAAGTATATTAATATTTCGATAACTTTTGGATGTCTTTTATCTTAGGTCTCATTTAGAATTATAAACATCTTAGCATTCAAGATAATAGTGTCTTGGAAATCCAAAAGTGCTTTCTTGCCTGGCATTATGATCAGATATTTCAAGGGTTACATTTGGATGGGTCCTGCGGTAGCTTCTGGTGGACAAAGGAAGGAGATGGTGAGTCTTTATTGTTGACCATAATTCCAAATCCCACGAACGAAGGCGTGGGAAGGAATGACATCTCTTTCTTATCATCTCCTTTTCATTTGTTGAGATTAGTTAAGAGAAAGGAGATGATAAAAGAGAAAGAGATTACTGGGTGAGATGCCTTCCCTCTTCATCCGGCATCTTGACCAACAATAAACCAAATAAAAGACCAAAAGAGAAGACCAACAATAAAGCAAAATCATAGAATGACTTGAAAATAAGGGAAAAGGGATATTATCTCCTGATCATTGTCAACCCGCCGGATCTCCCGGAAATAGAATGAGATGACATATGAAAAGACAAACAAGATAAAAGGCATGTCGCTACAACTCCAAAAGAGAAGAATTAGAAGAAGACCAATAGATACATGAAAGAAATGTGAGAAATTTTAAGAAAAGAAAAGACAAGAATACAGTGAATCATTAATTGATCATGCGAGAATGCGAAATTCTTTAATCTGCAAACTAATAAAAAGAGAAAACAAATTAAATTGCCATAAAGGGAAGAAAATAATATACTCTGATGAAAGTTCGTTTTTAGTAAAAGCATTTCCTAGAGATACAGCAGCATCAAACAAAAGAAGTGTATTAGCAAAAGTTAATTCACAAGGATCTGGAAGATAGAAAGCTTCTCCTGACCACATCCCTAAAGTTGGAGAAGATAATAAATGAAAAGATGTCCAAAAGAAGGATGCAAATATCAGAGCTTCAGAAACTAGAAAACTTCCAAAAAGAAAAAAGATTATTAATAAGACTTCATATTTTTAGTTAATTCTCTTAATAAATCTCTAGACCAAAGATGAAAACTATAAAATATAAAACAAATAATAAATTAAGATGAAATAATATAAGAAAATAGTTCTATGAGAAGTGAACTCCAGTCCAACAATAAGTATTAAGTCCTGTAAAGAGAAATAGAAAAGTGTCTTCATGGAAAGGCTGTAATCACTTCTTACTTCCTTGTAAGCCTTTCCATCATCAATCATATATTTGTATCTTTCCATTTTTCAATTTCTCTTTTATTTTCAAGTATTAATATTGGTTGAGGACGTTTCCTTCCGTCGCTTCTATCGTTTATCCTCATCCATAATAACCGACTGGAAAGGTCCTGAACTAACCTACAAACACAATCCAAATAACCATAATAGAGGCAAATTAAAATAATAAAGATAAAAAAGATGCAAACCTAAGGGCTGTGAACGCCTGGTCTGGATAAGACTGGTCTTTTCAATAGTCTTGCCGCTGCAGCTGGGACTAGATTTCATGGTCACTTTCCTTACACCTCCAAGCCTCTATTCTATGGCTTGGTCACATCTCTTTCTAATCAACTCTCTATCCCTTTCTCTCACTCCATCTCTCTCTGTTGAGGATCTGGAGTTTACGAGTCCAAGAGATGAAAAGAGATGGAAGAGAGTGGGGAAAGGGATTGGGTGACTTCTTCCTTCGTGTCACCTCCCTTTCTATCTCTCTATCATTCATCTCACCATGTCACCCGTCCAAATAATTCTGAGATATGGACGGGGAAAGGAAAAGGTGAGATGATGGCATGCCGTAAAGCCAAGAATCCTCTCTCGCTTCCTCTCACTCCATCATCTCACTCCATTCAATTTCTGGAGTTCCTGTCACTATGAAAGACTCACGATGGAACGGTGAAGTGATAGAGTGAGGATAGGTGACAGGAAGGACAGGGAGAAGTGAATGGGTTTGTAGGTGAGATTTCCTCCTTTCCCTTCCCTACCTCGCATTCTCTCGGTTTTCATCTGGATTTCTAGAAAGACAGGCAATCAAGGGAAAGGAAAGCCAATGGGAAATCTCACGCACTTCTATCTTCATGGATCCCTGTCACCTACCTGCCTGACCTGGAAATGGCTGTCCCTTCATCAGCTGTTAACTCTAGGATCCTTGCCAACGGTAAGACCTCAGAACCTCTCTCCCTTGACCGTGTTAACGAGAACTTGATCAAGAGTGAAGTGATGGACCAAGGATGAGTGAGGGAAAGGGATGGGAGTGAATGGGAATGATAAGGTGGGTCAATGAGAAATCCCACCATCATTCACCCCTCTTTCCATTTCCCGGATTAACCGGTGAGAAATGGTGAGGAGATAGGATGAGGAAAGGAATGCTGTCTTAATTCTGGTCCTCGTTCCTTCACCTTGTTCACTCTCTCTCACACCTCATTCCTTCACCTTGTTCACTCTCTCTCACACCTCATGTATTCCCACATCCATCTACAAATTACTTTAGGATGTGGAACAAGAATGCGAGAGAACGCTGATGTGTGCTGGGGTCCTGAATGGCAGGCACATAAGAACATCTAACTCGGCTGGTGGCTGAGCAGCGGCCAATTGCTCCCGTGTCGGCGGTGCTTCTCCATGATTGAAAAGAGCAAATCATGCGCATCTCTGCGCATCAGCTGCCTGAGCATGGTGTTACTGACCCTAGCGGGATTCCGCCCAGTTGCTGCAAGATACCGGGCCGCCTCCTGGTGAACGTACTTCTGCACCTCATCTGCGCTGAGATACTGAACGCCAGAGAATGCCCAGTAGCCTGCGCCACGGATACGATCCACCTGAGTCTCACTGGCAATCACCACGCCCTCGCCGTTCACGCCTTAAAAGTTGATGACGCGCGGGCACACAGTCCTTTCGCTAGGGCCGATGGAATTGTTTGGCGTATTCCGATTTTCTGAGGCGCTGCGCGCAGTTTTTAATTGGGATGTTCTAAAGCTTCCGTCAAGCGAGTTCGTCGCCATATCCTTGTGTAATCATGTGAGCGCGCGGCTGCCTCATGCAATCTCTTGCTGCCACAGCTGACTGGGATTGCGCGCAGCGTGAGAGCATGCCGTTTGGTGCCTGTCCGCTCAAAAGTGCTGTGGGCTGAGGCATGGCCAAAAGCGCACGACGCGTTTGCTCTTGATGACATGGATGCTCATTTTAACCGTGTCCGGCGCATGTGCCTCAGTCGACTTTGCGCCGGTCCCGAGAAATTGCTGCGCAGCTCCTCCTCCCTTTGCAGGGGGGTCCAAGACAAAACACATACTTTAGCCGCTTTGCAGGGCTGAGTTGATCATGCCTGTGAACCCAAGCGTCACGTGGGGCCTGAAAACTGAGCCCAGGCAGTGCGCTTGCCGTTTGGCAGGTTTTCTTGGCTCATACTTTTACACTGGAATGGCGGCTCTTGAGCGGCTCGCTTGGCAAATGTGGGTACGTCTTGAGCGGCGTGCTTATCATTTGACAAGCCAGCGGCGCGCTTGCGCTGTGAGTTTTGAGACGTGCTTTTTGGCAGCCGTGCCGAGAAAAAGCGAATCGCTGGATTCCGGCTTATTTCCATTTAGCGTGCGGGTTCTGCGGTCGTGCCATGAGGGAATGTGTGCTGAAACGTAAACGGGCCGTGGAATTTCCCAGGTGCATGGGCTGACGTTGCTGCCGGGTGGCAAGATGACCTTCACCAACGCTGCGGCTGTCAATGCCGGCGCGCTGAGCGCCGACTTCATCTTCCAGCTCGGAGGCTCTGTCCACTTTGCGAACTGCAGTGCAAGGACAGGTTTCCGGCTGTCGAGGTTTTGAAGAGAAGCGTGGGAAGCGCAATTCGGCTAAGCGCCGGCTAGCGTGCACCTGCGCATATCACATGAGACCTGCGTGTTACGCCGACACACCCACGATGCACCTTGACCCGCGAATTGGAGTTTATCACTGCCTGCTTACCACTTGGCAGGTTTGTGTGTCTGTGTGCGTGGGCAGTGCCTGAGCGGGTGTGCTTACCACTTGGCAGGTGTGTGTGTGTGCGCGCAGTGGGTGTTGTGTGTGTGTGTGTGTCTGTGTGTGTCTGTGTGTGTGTGTGTGTGTGTGTGTGGGCGGGCGGGCGGGCGGGCTGGCGGGCGCCCGCGGGCGGGCGGGCGGAAGGGCGGGCGGGCGTGCGTGCGTGTGTGGGTGGGTGGGTGTGGGTGTGGGTGTGCGTGTGCGCGTGCGCGTGCGTGTGCGTGTGCGTGTGCGTGTGCGTGTGCGTGTGCGAGTGCGTGTTCGTGTGCGTGTGCGTGCGTGTGTGTGTGTGTGTGCAGTGCTAAGTGGGTGCACGGGAGCGGGTGTGCTTGCCGCTTGGCACGCATGTGTGCAGCGCCGGGTGCGCAGTGCTGAGCGGGTGCAGCGTGCTTCCCGCTTGGCAGGCACGTGCGCAGCGAAACGGCCACGTTCGTAGGAGTTAATAGGTTGTGACACCTTGTTTTGGTAGGTTGCGTGTGAAACCTTGTTCGTAGGCATGGGGGTGGAGCCATCACCGCGTTGTGGCTAGCCCAACGGCACGGCAACATGACCTTCAGCAACTGCTCTGCGCAATACGGGGGCGCTGTCATTGCCGTGTGGCCCGGCTGAGTGTTTGGAAAGGATCTGTTCCGGAGCTGGCCTCCAAAACGACATCCCGGCAGATGGCGCCAGAAACAATGATATTTGGCTTCGTTTTTGATTTAGCTACGGAGACCTTTTTGTTTGGTAGTTTCAATCAGCCCCAATTTTTCCTGACTGGTTGTTGAAGAGTATCGGGATGAATAGAGATTCGGCAGTCGACCCCGGCCCCCGCCCAATAAACAAAACGGTGCACGAAACAGTTTTGAAGCTCTCGGGTGAGTCGGATCGCCAAATCAGTGGCCCAGGTCGCTGGACCAACTACTTGGCACTGGGCATTTGAGGAGTCGAGGCGGGCCGTGCTCAAAACTCCATCCGCCGCTGCTGCCAGGGGGCAGCCCCCCCAGTATGGCATTTCACTCCTGCACCGCTGAACAGTCTGGAGGGGCCGTCCGGGCAGAGGTCATACAGCAGGATCCGTGGCAGACTTGAGTTTTTTCCCTCTGGTGCCTCTCAGTGTCATTGTCAACGCTTCGCGTTGTTTGTCACGGGGCTAAAGGAGCGTATTTTGTGCTGAAACCTTCAGGGAATGGGAGCCCCTCGTATTTGTTGACTTTGCTCTTCGTTCGATTGAGCTAGGAAAAGTTCCAATGTATTTCTTGTCGAGAGTCTGGCAATGCTTCTTAGCGCGCTGTATCTTATTGTCGTGCATCTCAGCGCGCGGTCAATAAGCCCCGGCCAAAGAGCAAGGGCCGGGGCTCAGGTGAAGCTCCAAGAGCTGTCAGCGCGGCCTGGCAAATTAACGCACAGCCAGCGACGTCCGGAGCTCAGCCCGAAGGACGTCGCTAGACACGCGGAACTCGAACAAAGACAAGGAAAGCTCATCAAGGGTCGCGAGATCATCGCAATGACGCGTAGTAGTCACCATCAATCGCCTCACGTGTCTGACCAAGAATCTCACAGTGTTCAGATCCAAGTGGTATGATATTCTTCATAATACTTATTGGTATGGAGGATAGATTCCAGAAATCAGAAGACAAGATGGAAGCGTCACTAAGGGAAAGAATGCGGTGAACGAGAAAGAATTTCCGTGCTGGTATCACTTCACGAAACCTGGAGAATGCAGCAACACAAAGTGTTGTCCTATTCCGACAGCCCGAACACGAGGCAGAGGGGAAAGGGAAAGGCCAAATCACGATCATCGTATTCACATTGTGTCATCTCAGGAATTTCGACCAGATTAATGGGCCCAGTGCATGGTTTCGATTGCACGGTGATCACTTCAAAGGCGAGAAGATACCGTTCGGCACACTTGTGGACTTCACCCCGGGCGCAGCAAGAAACAACAAGAGGGAGAAGGTTGGCCCCCCACTGGTCGCTGTTGATATGTTCCTTGGCACTCATGCGTTGGCTCAAGGCACAAGTGAAGCAGTATTACAAGAGAGATAGAAAGAGTAAAGGTGCCCTCGCAGCCATTCCGTGCGATTTGCATACTTGTCCAACTGAGGAAATGGGCAGCTCCTTTGCGAATCCTACAGCCCTTCTTGGTTCAACGCCGGTTGGTGTTACAGTCAAGGGCGTTGTCCCCACCCATTTGCGGAGAGGACTTCTGCATCCTGGTTATCACTTACAGGTACAACACAAGGTTGTTTGTCCTCCCGACAGGTTATCAGCCGTAGGGCGGCTCTGCAATACAAAGGACAAGCGCCGAACTCATGATCAACTACATCATTAAGCAAACGGCGCAATGCTACATTTGGTCACGAATCAGCAGGAAGTTCAATCAAGTATTTGGCTTTTCCAGCAACTGCAGATACACCTGATGGAAATGCGAATGCAAGCCATATGCGTAGTCAGGATTGTTCGGTTGCTTCATGGAACCACAAACGCGACGGATGGTGAGAACCTGCGCCTAAGTCGAGAGATGGAATTGGCGGCCAA